TGTGAAAGTAAAGAGGCCAACAAAGCAACTAATTAATCAAAAGAATACTATTTCAGGGGTGGAAGAGGTTAATGAAGCATTTATATAAACAGAACGCTCTAGGTTCTGAAAGTAAGACTTGCCACAGCTAAGCAAAATATGGGGAAATTTGAGGCAGATAATGAAAAGTTGGCTGCCAGGAGGCTGATCCAATAATATTGCTCTTTTGCATCAATAATATGAAAGCAATTTGCTATGGATAGCATGATGTTTGATGATGCAAATATTAAGAAATAAGGAACCATTTCCTTGGTCTGTCTGTATGACACTAACATCCAGGAAATATTAATGACATAGGCCTACTTATTGCTGGTATCATTTTCTACAACCTATTTTTTAACATTATAGAAGATCCTCTAATTATTTATAGGTCATTTGCATTTACTTAAACTAAAAAAAAAATTAATATGATATTTTGAAGAAAATAAATAATTCTGCTCATACATCTATTTTAGTAAAAATATATATGCAAAGCTATCCTTTGTATGTATATGCCAAGCTTACCTATAAAAGATGTTACCATTGCTAACATGTTTTATAGATAAAATATAGATAAATCCAAAATTCAAATAATTTTTTCTTCTCCTGAGTTGAGTGTAAATAAAACTAAATGCAACAGTAACTTACAATTTAGATAAATTAATTAATTTGTTGTTTATTTCAAAGAGAAGAAGAGAGAGGGAGAGGGAAATAGAAACATCAATGAAGAGAATCATCTGTTAGCTGTCTCCTTTATGCCCCTACTGGGGATGGAGCCCAAAAACCAGGCACGTGACCTGGCCTGGAATGAACTGAAACTTCCTGGTTCATTGGTTGACACAACCACTGAGCAAAACTGTATGGGCTGGGAAATTAGAAGGAAGACTTTCATGTTCAATTGACATTAAGAAAATTATTTTCTCTAAGATCACTCATGATGCTGTGACTCATGGAAACATATTAATAATTCAGTTAAAACTAAGCAATTAAGAAATCATAAATAGGCCTGGCCAGAGTAGCTCAGTTGGTTGGGCGACATGCTGTGCATTGAATGGCTGCTGGTTGAATTCCAAGTTAGGCCACATGTCCGGGTTGTGGGTTCAGTCCCCAGTAGGGGCATGCAGGAGGCAGCCAATTAGCCAATCAAAGTTTTGTTTTTACATAGATATTTCTCTCTCCTTCCTTCCTCTCTCCAAAAATCAATACAAATATTAAGGAAGAAAAGAAATCATGAATGTTCTTACATTTAGTTGAAAATCACTTTAACTTGTTTATTTATCTTTTTATTTGTAGAAATATTCTGTGACCACACAAAAGCTCTTTCCTGGGCTTCCCCTTTATTCCAGATAGGCCTCTGGATCTCATACATCTGGCAGCAGAATTATTCCTACAACTTTTTAAAATGCCAGCAGCAAGGCTTTGCTTCAGACGAGCCAGATATGAATCTCCATACTTCTCTAAGATTCATGTAGAAACTGGTGCACTGTCCTGCTGTAGAAGCTCTGATCCAAACAAACCTTTGTCATGATTGCATCTGATTTATAATCTAATGAATCTCATTTCTTTTTCTTATACTCACTCATCTTTCGCCTGACTTGCCTACCTGTAATCTGTACGGGATGACTAACAGGCATGGCCTGAATGAAATTTCTATCCCCATAAACCACCTTCTTCTCCCCAGATTTCTCCCATTTGGATAAATGTGCAACAATCTATAAAAGTTGCTTAAGTTCCCTCCCCAACATTTTCAAACAAGAAGGAACAACAAAATCTTTGAGTGATCATTAATTATGCTTTTATCTTTTTTTAAACAACAAATATATATATTTGATTTCAAAGAGGAAGGGAGAAGGAGAAAGAAATAGAAACATCAATAGGAAGAGAATCATTGATTGGCTCCCTCCTGCACTCCCCATACTGGGGATCGGGCTCACAATCCAGATATGTGCTCTGACTGAGAATCAAATCATGACCTCCTGGTTCCTAGGTCATTGTTCAACCAATGAGCCAGGCCAGTCAGGCAATTCTGCTTTTCTCTAATCCTCCAAGAATATTTAATCCATCAACAAGCTCTCCTCTAATATGATATATTCCAAATGTACCTACTTTTCACTCCACCTGTATTGCCACCATATAGTCCAAGCCATAGTTGTTTATTCCTCCTGAATTATTGCAAAACTTCTAAAGTGACTTCCCTATTTCTACTCGGACTAAATTGTCTGCATACATTAGCCATGAGGTGTTTCAAAATATCCAGTAGATCATGTCATTCCCATGCCAAAGGTTTCATTGCAGGCAGAATAAACACAGACTCCAGGTTGCATGTGATGTGGCCCCTGTCTCTGAATCCTCACATCTTAGCCCATCTCCTCTCACTGTGGTCCAGCCTGGCTGCCACTGCCTTCTTTCTGGTTTCTTCCAGCCAAGACTGTTCCCCAGGGAGGCTATTTTCACTAGTGTTTTCTTTTGCTTAAAATGCTCTGCATATGGTTTCATGAAGCTTGCTGCTTCTTGTTAAATCTCAACTAAAATGGCACTTTCTCTCAGAGGTCTTTCCTAATCTTCCCATCCAAATTATCCCCTCACCAAAGTCATTCTGCACCATATAGCTCTTTCTTGTCATCTCACAAACATCTTAGGAGTAAAAACACAACAAAATCAATAATTCTTTTCATCATTGACTTTTTTCCAGTCCTCATCATGCTTTATGAATTTACAGCATTTGACACTCTTACCTTGAATTGTCCTTTACTTCCAGTAGAGTAAGGTAGGCAAAAGTCCTATAATGGCTAAAGCAGTCTCCAATAACAACAAAAATGTGTTCTACATAACTTTTCAATGCCCATAGTCATTTGTATAAGCTAAAAACAATTTTATAGCTACTGAGCCTTGAAGCTAGGTTTCACATATAAAAATAAATTCAGTTTTGCCCATTTTAACATTCATTACATTTTCCAGGAATTTAGCCACCATGTAAATTGAGAGGTGATTAATTTGTTTAGTTTGGACTTTTACTAAGAGTTGCTCAATGCTTTAGAAAATTATATCTTCAATTGCAACAGGTCTTGTGGTATTTGTGTTCTGTGTGCTATGTAGCATGTTTATATCAGGATACACATTTATACTAATTTATACATATTTATCAGTATAAATATATATCCTATATAATAAAAGGGTAATATGCAAATTGTCCCCTTGAATGGGAATTTTACCTGAGTATGACCAGGGGCAGGGCCGGCCTGCCAACTGCCCTGAACCCTGCCCCCCAGCCAGCCTGGCCCAATCAGCCCCAATTGGGGCAGGCCAGCCAGACCCCACCTATGCAACAATTTGTGTACTGGGCCTGTAGTATATGCATAAGTGTATACATATAACTACATTTGTAGTTATCACAGTCACAGTATTTTTAGGTGTGTATAAATGTTAAAATGAACATATATATACATATATAAACACACACACACATATTCAACCCTTATATTAAAATGCAAATATAAAGATATTAAATTTATTGTTTAAATATGGACTTCCTCATTATAACGAGGTTACAGCATCTGGTAACTTCATTACATCATTTAATATAGACATGCCTGAAGCATTTATATATTTAACTAGATATTTTATTAGAAACATTTATTTTATTTCTCCTTTTTATTAAGGATAAAAATGATATATTACATTTGTAAAATTGTATGTTAAAAATTATATTACCTGTGACTTTTATTTAATGACTAGAGGCCTGGTACAAACATTTGTGCACTGGGAGGGGTGGTCCCGCAGCCTGGCCTGCGCCCTCTCTCAGTCTGGGGCTCCTCGGGGGATGTCTGCCTGCGGGGAGGCAGGAAAGGCTCCCACCACTGTTGCTGCACTCGCCAGCTGTAAGCCCCGCTTCTGGCTGAGCAGGGCTCCCCCTATGGGAGCACACTGGCCACCAGGGGGCAGCCTCTGTGTTGAGTGTGTACCCCCTGGTGGTCAATGTGTATCATAGTGACCAGTCATTCCACCACTTGGTCAATTTGCACATTAGCCTTTTATTGTAAAGGACAATAAAAGGGGGGATTAAAAATATTTATTATATTGGGTCTGATATGGCTGGGGAACCAATAAATTATAGCTCCATGCCTCTGATGGGCTTTTCCTCTAACTAGCATGATCTTCCTACCCTTTCTACATGTAAAACTTCCATCAGTAATCAGGAACTCCCCTTTCCATGGTCACAGCACTATAAAAGCATTTCTCAGATGGTACTTATTCAATTCATCTGCTGCTCTCCCGCTGTAGACTGCAAGCTCCCAGACAGCGTGGTCCTTGTCTCACTCTTTCCTATAAACTTGGCACATAGTAGGTTCTCAGTAGATGCTTACAGAATGAATGAACCTACTTGAGAATCGGACTAAAGTTATGAACTCTGTATTCAGAAAATGTACTATACATACACATGCCAGTTTTCCATATAGTTTCCAGCTTTCCAAGATATTGGGAACACAAGAAGTATTTTCCAACCTAGATATTATTAAAGAGGAAGCTTTGGAACAAGACATTTCAGAAGATGCCTCTTCCACATAATTTGAACACAAACAGGTAAGCCTCTGCTCTCTCAAACCACAATTTTGAGCAAAGAAAGAGACATCTTCACCTGTGACAGTTTTATACCCATAGATTAACATGTAGTGATTTTATACCCTGGGAATGTGCTAGGTACTATGAAACACTGTTTTATTGTTTATTTTTTTTGGTTAAAAGTAAACAATCTTTAGTATCTCTTAGTAAAAATAGAAATAATTCTGAATTATTTGCAATGGCAAGATAGTTCCATATCATTTTATAGCATTTTCAATTGAAAATGAATTTTAACTGTGAGATATGGGAAGATTGTAAAGCACCTAGTCATTTTATTTTATTTTTTATTTTTGCAGTTAAAAAATAGATTCATTTTTATCCTTGCAATCTTTCTAAAAATAAGATGCTTCAGCTGCTCTTACCTCATCAGAGCCAGATCCAAAAATTAGCAAGTCGAAAGGAATCGCTGCAACCATGTCGATCAGGAACCAGCCTTTGAAGTAGTGGATGGCTATTTTGGCGGGATCACTTACCACTTCTTCATTCTGATTTACGTATGTAGTTCTGAAGTTTATTAGAATATCTATGATGAACATAATATCCACAATCAAGTCTACCACGTTCAAAGGGCTGCAAGAGTAGCCACATTCTCGCCGTTTCTGCTCCTCCCTGTCGTTGAGGAGAAAGGCTGCCGAATAGGGGGTGAATATTGCAGTGTATATGACCAGCAGCAGGATCAGCCAGTCCCAGACGGCCTTGAAAGGACTGTAGTGCAATATTGTAAACTTGTTGATGCGCGGCGTCTGCAGTTTGTATTCCGGCAGGACGTCTGCTCCTAAGGAAAGAACCTGAATATAGAAAAGAAAAACAGACACTACATAAAAGTGCCATTATTCAACCTCCAAACCTATGCAAATATTAAGTAATTAAACAGCAAAATCTATTAGAAAGGATTCCCGTAATGGAATTCATACATTGTAAAGTGCATAGTTGAAGAAGCCAGTGCAAATCCCTGACTTCAGAAACCTCATTGGTATTTTGATAAATATTATTTTCACTGAAAAATAATGAGATAACAAGTACTGGTTACTTACAATTCCTTTGGAACGCACTACTAGTCAGAAATAAAAACACATAGGTTTCTGTGTGTTTTTTTGTTTTTTGTTTTTTTTTTTTAGAAAATCATGAAATCAGTTTGGTACGTCAGTAATTCAGTTTTCAAACCTAAGAAAGAATTGGCTGCAATGAATAGAAGCAGGCTACTTGGGTCCATATATACTTACACCTGAACTTCTTTATCACATTTAGAGAATTGGGAAGAGAGAATTGTGCAAGGAGATGATTAGATGAATAACCTGGAAATGTTGCAATATTCTTACATCCCAGGCAGTGCTCAAACTCTAAGATTTATTCAACCTAATCAGGCACAGAGTAGATTAAAACAGTCCTTTTTTTTTTTTTTTTTTTTTTTTTTTTTTTTTTAGAGTTTTAGGTTATCTGAAAAAAAATGAGTTAAACTTAAAACTCATGACTTTACCCAGTTGAAATGTTCATGTGTTTGTGATTTTAACCCAAAATTGAGGAACAAAGGTAGAGAAAAAGTTACTTAATTACTCAGAAAATATAAATACATGGGTTTTTAAGAATTTAACATTTTGATGGATCCACAAATGGTACATAGAGTCATTTTTTAAAGGAGTGGTGGGTTATAATTTTACCTTATGGATAGCCCACATAGGTGTAGTAGCTTTATTTCAAAATGAATCTCACTAAAATTTTTCAGACTAGATTCTTCTAAACACAGCTAATAAATCATCAGCTTTGCAACATGGGCCTCAGGAAATCCCATTAGTCAGAGAGTGTTATTTCTTTGTTCTTAGTAATTCTATCCATGTAGGTTTTAACTAAACTATAATAATAAACTATCTCAGACAAATTGCAACTTGCAATTTTATTTTTATTGTCATACTTCTTACATCCCCACCCACATATAAGTTACTGTTCTATTTAAATGAAAAAAAAAAACTTGAGAAGTTAAATAACAACCTCACATGAGATACAACATGACTTTTAAATATAACAGAAAGACTTCAGTTAAAATAAGCAAAGCTCTTTAGATAATAGCTAAAGTGATTTAACTAGCTTTGAAAAAAATAATAAAGAACTTAACCATTTTTTTTTCAGTCCAGAATAAAATTGTATATGGAGGAAACAGGGACTTAATTTAAGCTATTGTAAAAAGTGACAGGAATTAATTATTACTAAAAGAGAAATCTGTAAAATAAAGTGATTTCACTATTTATTAAACACTAAAAATCATCAGAATCCAAGATCTAAATCTATATCAATAGTTCTAGTGATATCTGACTTCCAAAATCCAAATAGGAATGATGGTTAATCTATCAATTCGTAAGTGCAGATTGATAGAACATGATCCTGTTATGCTTAGTACAGAAAACCAGTGTAAGATATTTGGTCTGGAAAGAATGGGTCATCTCTTATGGTATTATATAATGTCTTTCTCTCAAAAATCAGGGACTACTCAGAATATAGAAAGTAAAATTCAAAACCTTATTTTGGCTCTCAAAGTCATCTAAAATATGGACCCATTCTGTCTTCCCAGTTCCTTCTCTCATTAGATTTCTCTATGCACACAGTGTCCTCTGGCAAGACAGCTGTTGAGATCTTCCCAAATTGCTAAATTAACAAATTTCTCTCATAAAAAAGTATCAAGTTATTAAAAAAGAACCAAAAAATGTCATTTTTTAAAGATAGGAATATATGTCTGAGCTTGCTCCTTGCTTTAGTGACCTGCTTGTGATAGGAACCTCCCATAGGGGGCAGTCTAAATATTTGTTTTAGCAGAAGTTATACTACATACATATAAAACCTTAGAGCTTTCCATGAGAAGCAAAACTGTGGATGGAACTCTTTCCATTGTACATATGCAAAAATTGGAAAGGAAATAATATTCCATGTAGAGTGTTAAAAGAATGAAGGCAGGTAGGTATGAAATGATGTGTTGTGGGTTAAGCTGATTTATAATGTTGATGAATAAAATGCGAGGAAATAGTGGTAGAGAGGGCAGTGAATAGGGACAGGGACAGGCTGTAGAAGATGTAATGCGACATGTAGTAATCTCGGACTTTCTCATTTAGGTCAGGGATTCTCACACTTGAATGAAATATAGATCCTTTTAAGATTAATAAACTTACTGTAGAACCCCAATGATGATGCATAATATTTGAATTGATAATGTTAGGTAAATATATACCAAGATAAAACTAGGTTAAAACCTCTTAATATGACTGTTTTGGATTGAATTGTGTATCCCCAAAAGACATGCTGAAATCCTAATATCTGGTACCTGTGAATGTGACTTTACTTGAAAATATGGTTTTTGGAGGTGTAATCAAGTAATATAAAGTCATGGTGGACTGGAGTGGGACTTGATGAAATAACTGGTGTCCTCACACAAAGAGGGAAATGTGGCTGCAGAGACACAGCCGTGTGACAATGGAGGCAGAGAGAGCTGCGAGCCAAGGACCACCAAGGACTGACGGCAGCCGTCAAAACCTGCGAGAAAAACATGGCACAGATTCTTTCTCAGAGCCTCCAGAGGAACTGTGATTTTGGACTCCCAGCCCTCAGAATAACTTGCATTGTTTTAAGCCACTTTGTGATATTTTACTAGAGCAACTCTAGAAAATGAATACAATGACCAAAAAATAAACAAGTAAATTATAAAAAAAATTTGCAAAACTATCATCACTAATTTAACATTTGATATACCTGATTGCTTCTTGACTATTATGTGTGGTTTGTTCTAATAGGTGGGCTATTTTTCTCTGTTCTATCCCTCAATGCCTTTTTGTATTAGCATGTTATCAAAATATTACAAAATTCAAAAATTGTATTATCATTATAGGGTAATCTAATCTAATTCTTAATTCAAATTTTATTTCTAATAGGTGTTCAAAGCCAATTTTAATGGTGTTATCTGATACTGTACCAAAGTTTTTTGTTTATTTGAAGTTTAATTTTGTTTTGGAGCATTATTGGATTCTACATTAAGTAATTATCTAATTTGATTATTTTTGGAACTAGGTTCAGAAAAGAAGTTCATTGGCAATATTCAAATGTATCTATTAATACAAAACCATTGAAATTTGGCATATACAACAATGGAACATGTTTTGAAAATGCAATTGTAGCAAAATTATTTGTATTAAAAGTTAAGGTACAAATTCTTCCGATATCTGAAAGGCCATGCCATTTTTATATCAATATATTATTCAATTCTTTCATGACTTTTACCAGCCAATTATACAGCATGCTTTAGTCACTAAAGTTTAGTGTCATGCAGCCTCATTGTAAAACCAAAAATAGTCCTAGACACTGAAGCCAGGTCAGATGGCAGTACTCTGTTATTAAGTGATTATCTTATTGATTCAGAAGATTATTATATTGTTTTAGCTTTTCACCAACGTTCAGTAATTTTTAAGATTTTCCAGAAGTAGAAAGAAGTTCTATATTCTCTTTGCATAATATATGGGGCAAATAGAATCTCTCCATATGATCTCTTTAGTAGGATAGTATGATGTCTTATGTAGATGCTCAGTACTCCTGAGAGACATGCGGAAATATCCAGTCTTCTTAAGGTCAAGTTCTGGAATTGGCACAGCATCACTTCTGCCATAATTTACTGGCCAAAGTAGTCACAGGCTATCCAAGATTCAGTAGCGTGGGAGGATAGACTTTACCTCTTGACAGGAAATGACATACATAGGAAAGAGAATTCAATTGTGGCCACCTTAGAGATAAGCTACCAAAGGAATTATTGACAATTATTGTTCTTAGGTATGATGATATCATGGTCATGTTTTTTTTTTTTTTTTAAATAGTCCTTGCCTTTTAGGGGTTCAAGGGAGATACTTATTAATGAAATTATATAATATTGGGGCTTTCTTCACTATCACCCAGAATGGGGGAAGATAACAGGGAGAGAGAGTTTGTTTGTATGCAACAATATCAACTATATGTTGATTTTATTGAAACTGGGTGATGGGTATATATTGTTATCTCTAGTTACACTATATGTTTAAACATTTTCATAATAAGAAGTTAAAAAAAACTAGAATCTCAGCCAGAAAGGTGTTAAGATGTTTGAGAAAGTAATTTTTTTTAATGAAAAATAAAGAAATAGGTCTACAAACATCATAGAAGTTTGCATCTATCAAAATTGAATTGTTGGTTCTGTATCAGGCAACTTTGAATTTTTGTTTATACAGAAGAACGGGTACTTTGCTCTCTGCACATCTAATCCATAAGATGCTGACCTTATTCAACAACACAGACTATACACAATCCCAACTTTGCCCACCCTCCAAATGTTTGCCTTCAAATTTCCATCGTGTTGGGCAAATCACAGTACAAGAAAGTAATTGGACAGGCTAAACCTGCAGATGCTCATCCCTCCGAGAATACTTGGCTATGTTGTTCATCAAGTTAGGTTAAAATACAGACACTTTTCAGAAACTCATAAGGTTAGACCTCTTATTGAGAAACAGTGTTCTCATATTCAAACTTGAAGCTTTCATTGTAGTTTGATATAGGAGGTATGTTTTTTGCATTTCCCCCATAAAACAACTGAATGCAATGTATATATTGTAATATCATTTTTGTAAATATTTGCATTATCTATTATTTTTATTATTTATTTCTAAGAAGTAATTGAGTTCTCTTGAGGAATCAGTTTTCATCTTTCTCATTTTAAAAACTGGTAATGAAAGAGTTATTTCATTAATTGCAGTTTCTTTTTGCTTTCTTGCAGAAAACTATGAGTTTGGAATTCTAGCACAATTATTTTATGTTGTTTTAATAGTTCTATTTCCATTTTAATGTTCCAAATAAATATATATTTTATAATGTCAACTTATACTTCTTTGGAAATAAGGAAAAATATATAAGTCATAAGTCCCAAGTAAGTTTAAATTAATCAAAAAAGACTTTGGAGTATTGTTAGAAATATTAGATAAGTAAATATTTGCTTTAAAAACATGAGTAAGATCTTAAGGGGTCCATGATTAAAAAGTAAAAGGAAGCTACACAGTCTATTAACTTTTCTTAAGAGAGCCAACTTCTATACATTTGGGAAATAAGATACTTTAGAAAGACAAAATATGATTAATTAAACTTTGATAAGGCTTTTCTTTTTTAATATATGTCTTATTGATTTTTAGAGAGAAAGAGGAAAGGAGAGGGATAGAAATATCTATAAGACTCATTAATTGCTCAGCTGTCCCCTGTATGGCCCTTATTGGGCTTTGAGCCTACAACCTAGGCATTTGCCCTGACCAGGAATTAAACCAGTGACCTCTTGGTTCATGGGTTGACACTCAATCACTGAGCCATACTATCTGGGCAATAAGACTTTTCAAGAAAGAAAAAAAGAAAGAAAGAAAGAAAGAAAGAAAGAGAGAGAGAGAGAGAGAGAGAGAGAGAGAGAGAGAGAGAGAGAGAGAGAGGAAGGAAGGAAGGAAGGAAGGAAGGAAGGAAGGAAGGAAGGAAGGAAGGAAGGAAGAAAGAAAGAAAGAAAGAAAGAAAGAAAGAAAGAAAGAAAGAAAGAAAGAGAAAGAAAGGAAGGAAGGAAGGAAGGAAGGAAGGAAGGAAGGAAGGAAGGAAGGAAGGAAGGAAGGAAAGAGGGAGGAAGGGAGGAAAAGGGTTTAAAGCCTCACTGTATTAAAAAAGGGGGAACTCTATGGTCTCCAGAAAAACACTTATATTTTCTCTTTCCTGAAACCACCAATTAAATATAGTTTAATACAATCTAAAATATTGTTCTCTTTACCAAATACAGTTTTCCTAGTTGCTAGCACACTGCTATTTGTTTAACCTCTAACTGCTAAGTGTTACATACAATAAAAATCTATATATGAAACAACACTATTTATTCAATAAAGATCTACTGTGAAAATTTTGTGGGAACAACAGTATTAATAACTACTCTTCTCTTCAGAAAAGTGCAATAGGGAATGATTAAGTCTTCCAAAAGATTACATGGTACTTCTGGCAGCTGTTAAGCCATTCTGAGGTATTGGTAGACTGCTCATCTGTTATTTATCCTTTACTCAGGACTCACAGTTACCCAATAGGGTAGCACCGTGATGGGCAAACTGCAGCTCTCGAGCCACATGGGGCTCTTTGACCCCTTGAGTTTTGCTCTTCCACAAAATACCACGGCCTGGGTGAGTCTATTTTGAAGAAGGGGGGTTAGAAGTTTAAGTTTAAAACATTTGGCTCTGAAAAGAAATTTCAATCATTGTACTGTTGATATTTGGCTCTGTTGACTAATGAGTCTGCCGACTACTGAGCTAGCTGTTAACTATTGGGAAGAGCAGTGTGTAACAAAATGAATCAGGTAAAATATATAGCATCTGGACAAATTTAGAATCCCCTGGCTTTTCAGCAGATGACTTGAGAAATATAGCAAAGCCTAAGCAATTATTGCAACGGGCAGCCCCACTGATGATTACCCAGATATTTAAATTAAAAGATGAAAAGTATTCACATAATAAATCAAATCTGTCACATAGGAAGATTTTTAATAAATAAAATCTTAAAATTAGATTGTAGAATCACTGCAGCATTCTGTTTTACAATAACTTTCTAAGGCTTCAATTAAAGTAGATACTTAATCACTTGTGTGTGTGCACATCTGTGTATGCATGGATGTTTAATAAGTTGGAATGATTGCTCATTTTGCAAATATATGAGTCAAACAGGTCCAGTTAAATGTCAGGTTTAGTGTTTTGTATGTGTTATATATATTAATTTAAAAATGCTGTTTTCTTAATATATCTGTGACTCAGTATAAGAGAAATAGGTTAGATCATATCTTAAACATTTATAATATTTACAAATTACTTAAAATACATACATATTAGAAAATTAAACTCTTGTTATGATTGGACCAAGAAGTCATGGTTCAATTCCTGGTCAGGGCACATGCCTTCTTAGCTCATCAATGCTTTAACTTGGAGAAATAAGATTGGTGATACTGACTCTCTTTATGTTAGTCACCAGATCTAGTGTTAAATTCTGACATTCAATTCTCTCAGCTGCTCTTTGAGATAATCATTATTATCTATATTTTTATAGATGAGGAAACTGACTCAGAGAGGACAAGTAATTTACCTGAGGTCTCAGAGACAACTATAGTATGGTCAAAGTAAAATTCCCTAACCTTATTGAATACTTATTATTTACTGAAGACTTGATGGGCATTATCTCATTTAAATATTACATGTTTACAATGTAAGTGCTAGCTGTAGGTTGAATTGTGTCCCCCGCCGAAAGTTATGCTCTATTCTAACTCCTAGTACCTGTGAATGTCACCTTATTTGAAAAATAGATCTTTGCAGATGTAACCTACCTCAACTTAAGATGAGGTAGGTTATACTCAATGGATTGAAGAAGGCCCTATACAAAGAGCAGAAGAGACAGAGACAGACACACAGGAAGAAGGCCACATAACAATGGAGACAGAGGTAGGAGTGATGTGCTGTCAGTCAAAGAACACCAAGACTGCCAGCACACAGAAGCTCAGAGGAAGGCAGGACACCAGCTTTCCTCTATAAGCTTCACAGAAATATGCCCCAACTAATGGCTTGATTTCACACGTTTATCCTCCAGAGTGTTGAGAGAATAAACTTCTGTTTTTTAAGCCTCTCAGTTTCAATTCATTTCATTATGGGGACAAAGCCTACGTTTTCTCACTGCACATGTTATTTCCAGAAAAATAATACATTTTAAAATATATATTTTATTGACTTTTTGCAAAGAGGAAGGGAAAAGGATAGAAAGCTAGAAACATCAATGAGAGAGAAACATTGATCAGCTGCCTCATGCACACTTCCTACTGGAGATGTGCCCACAACCAAGGTACATGCCCTTGACTGGAATGAAACCTGGGACCTTTCAGTTCCCAGGCCGACTCTCTATCCACTGAGCCAAACCGGCTTTGGCAAAAAATAATACATTTTATAAGTCTTTGTGTAAAACCTTTCACAGTGATAAAAATATTTTTAACAAAATTCTAATCACTTAAGTCAAAATAGTGAATAAAGAGAATTATGCAGAATCACTTCATTTCTTATAAATCTTTATTGTTGAAAGAATTACATATGTCCCTTTTTTTCCTCCATTGCCCTCTTCCTCTCACCCCATTAAGCCTTTACCACCCTATTATCTGTGTCTATGGGTCATGAATACATATATATGAGTTCACTGGTTAATCTCTCCAAGATTAATCTACCCCCACTCTTCCCGTCTACTTAAATCACTTCTTGTCAAGAGTCTCAATACTACTTGTTGGGATGGACACACAGATGTAGGACATAGGAAGAACAAAACAGAAATGTTAGATGGCCATGATGGGTGCCCAAAATAAAGAACATTCCCACTAATTAGAAATACATAATCTGTCAAATATCGCTGTGTAGGCTAGACTGTAGGCATAGATGGCCCTGTTACATATCCCAGCTCTGACGTAGTCATTCAAAAAAATCTCCCTGAGCATCAGACTCCTTAGCAGCAACATGAGGACAGCAATATCTACCTCATAAGCCATCGTGTAGCAGGTGTGATCACACATGTATAAAGTTTATAGAGAACCCCTGTCTTCCTAAATACTCCATAAGTGAATACTACTATTATAATTTTAGACACATTTAACTTCACCAACTCAAAATTAAATTACAAATAACACTGAATGTCAATTATAATTATTGACGGAACCCATTTCTCTGATGTGACCTTTGGATTAAGTCAATCATACAATGAAAAGATAGCAGAAGACATAATTATGGCTCTTGGTTTTGCTGGTAAGATAAAAGTTTTTCTTTGATTATGAACATCTTAGTTATGCTATGTTGGCTCGTGGGTTATTTGTCAAGTAGTGATTTAAGAAATCAACCATTTTTTTAAAAGCTCTCCAACACTTTGCAAAGACCCACTTTAAGCAAAAAATAATGTATTTATTCATCAAAGCATGTGGTCCTGGAACTAGGGAACAGTTAGTTAATTGGATCGGAATGGCTATCATAAAAAATAACTGTCAATCTGATGAGTGGTTGGAGGAAATTACTTTTGAATATCTTCAGAGAATGCATGAATTTCTCAATTTTCCTGCAAGTAATGAAATGGCATTTCTTCAAAATGAATTCAGTAAGTATTTATGGAGTTCCTGTCCACTTTTAAATATGAGTATAGTTTCCAAGGATCCTGTAGAAATTAAATTATATATATATGATATTTGAGGTTATGCAATTTCATCATTTTATGTAGCACACATTGTTTGCTTGATTACAATAAATTAGTGTGATTTTACTATGTTTGCATCTTCTAAACATCAAGGATTATTGTGTCTTAAGGGCAGACATAGGCAACACTCTCCATGAAAATTCCAGGATGATGGGGAAATGTAAATGTGTGTATATGTATGTGAGCAAACATAATTATCTACCATGGTGTTTTATTCTGGGATATATGGGTGGGCTTTTATTAACTTCTTGAAATCATCTAAAATAATTGAAGATGTGTACTATATTTATTTGTCAGAGAATATATGTTCATGCCAGTTATGGATTCTCAGTCACCTATGACCTACAATGAGGTAAAAACCTTGCCTTAGGGTATACATTTTTCTGAATCCCTTAGAACCACAAACACATTTATAATTAGAGAGAGAGAGAGAGAGAGAGAGAGAGAGAGAGAGAGAGAGAGAGAGAGAGAGAGAAATGCAAAAGAGTAAGAAGAAGAGGTATTTAGAGAGAGAATGAAGCATAAAGTAATGGGGGTGGCATTTTGGAAATGTGCTCAAAGTTACAGTAAAGTCAGAGATGGCATCTTAACTGACTGAAGCACAGAGGAACTGCTTCTCCATTACTGATAAACTTTCCTTCCTGAGTATTTACAGGGCGAATGATGTGCTAGTAGTTGAGTCTGTGCTTTGCTTTTAAATAACTTGGTTTTAAGAACAGTTTCTCTTTCCTGCTATATTTCAAACTGAGAAATGTCTTTTATTTGAGTACATTTAGTTTACAAGTAGCATCAGAAAGTGTATGACATTCTTACCAAATTTGTAGTTTATGAGTCTTGGTTTGACCATATTTTAGGATTAATGATCAGTTAATAGTCTGTAAAATCTGATAGTAATATTAATAGTAGGAACCCATTTAAGTAATTTCCTTTAGTAAAAACTTCATTGGAAGGCCATCTTTTTCCTCCTGGACTTGTTCTTTTTGGTGGTCGGTCAAGCTTCATTTGGTACCCAGAATAGCAATAAGTAGAAAATTGCCAGGATGTCTATCGGTCAATTCAATAAAACCATAAGAAGTAAAACAAGATGTCTTCAATAGAGTCAGGTGTTAAATAACCTATTTTGTCTCTTTTCTTCCTTCTTTTTCCCCCTCCTTCCTCCATTCCTTCTTCCCATTCTTCCAAAATAAAAATGTTTAACAGAACTAAACTTCTGCAAGGAGAAATTATAACTTAGGGTGCAGAGTTGTTCACTAGATTCTAAACTGCCTGGTGGTCTTAACATGTTTGCTCTATTTTTGCACCTAAAACCATGCCATGTCCAGTTGCTGCCCACAGAATAAGTACTCAATATATATTTTCTATTGGACAACTAACATGCCACCCAAGTAGTCAAAAATCCATGAGAAGAAGGAGGTTAATCACATGATAATTTATATTGTTTTTTAAAAATTCATAAGATCCTAAGAAAAATGTCTTGTTACGACTCAAAAATAACCGTTATGTATGGCATGGGCAAGTTGATTACTAAACAACTATATGTCTCTTTCATGTTCAAATAATAAAATCAAAATAAACAGCAGCAACAATAAAATATTAAGAAAAACACTCTATATTTAAAAATTACTGAAAATATTCACAAATTAATTTTAATTATTATTTATTATCTATTCTTTTAAGAGAGAAAACAACCCAAATATTCTATTATAACCCATGATGAGTCTTGGAATTAAATCTGACACTGATTCCATCATAGTCAAAAAAGATTTATACCTAAACAATGGCTAGAAGTATCACTGAGATAACTTTCTTTGATAACCAACTATCAATCACAGCCTACCTTTTAGTCATGCTGAAAAAATCTGAGTAGTGCATTGAAGAAAATCATCTTTGCTCTTTTAAGTAACTTTAAAACAATGGGCATATGAATCATCTGAAGTAAATGAACAAAAATATGGCATTCTCAATTATTCAGAAGACTTGATATAGAAACATAATTTTGTATCAAAGATTCATTAGCTTCCTATTTTTGCTCATCACCTTTCAGGGGTAACTTCCTAGGAGGCAATTATTCTTAATTCTAAATTGTCCTGCATTCCATTATGTTTTTTATCTTATTAGAATTTTTTTTTTGGGGGGGGGAATAATTAAGATTTTTTATTCCTATTCATGTTTCCCAGGGGGAGGACATGAATAGCACTTATCTGAAACAAAAACTATGATCCAAGTGACACAGAACAAATAAAAATCAAGCCAGTTTATGCCTCCCCATGAAAACCTCTAGCCTAATTAATGAGTAATAATATGATTATGACCACACTTCAATCTTCTTAACTTCTTTATATTTGCATCTTTTACATCTTATTGATAGAAAAATATGCAAATTTTTTAAAAAACAGTTAAAAACTGTTATATTTACTCTTGTCAGAGATACATATAAATAGCAAAATACATGTATTATTTCCTTTCAGATTTTTCATCCAATTTTACATGGTAAACAGAAACACTGTCTAGCATACTAATTTCATAACTAACCCTTCTTATTAATTTGCCTCATTGGCACATTGTTTAAGCCTTTCATACATAGAGCAGCCACTGAAATCCATTCTCTATTGGTTTCTAAATCAGTGGTCTCCCAACTCTTGGATTTTAGAGTTTGGTAAAACTAAAAAGAAGCGGGATATTTTGCGGTATTCCCCACATTAGGAATGTTATGAAAAGCAGTCATCTTTCTCTACCACCATTATTTCTGTTATGCCCAGATTTCAAGATCCTTAAGGATCACCAGGGAGCAGAGTCCAATGCATAAGCAAAGAGCCTTTATTAGCTGGTCCGGTGAGCAACTATCCGGGCGACTGCTCTGCCATTCTCCACGCAGTAGCGACCCTTTGTGTAGGACCACTTTTAAGCACATTAACCACATCCTGTTCTTACAGAGCAAGCAACCCTAGACAAAACAGTTTTTCCCAAGCAACGTCAGAGTCATGCCATTGACGACCATATTGTTCACAGGGTCATCCTGTTCTTCAGAATGCTGATCGTGTTCTGTGAAAGAAGGCCTACGTGCTGGGAAGGGGCCATGAGACCCTATCTCAAGGCCTGGCCTGGTGTCAGCACTGACAACTCTATCTGGGACATAGTCCATGGCCTCTCTGGAAGCATGCTCAAAACTTCCCACTCTCCAACAATTTCCTAAAGGTATGTTAATATAAAAAATCAGAAAGGCAAACTCTTAAAATAAAAAGCAGCCATTTTAAATAAGTTCAACTTTATGAAATCTTATTATGCTGTTTCTCCTTTCTTAATTTGTTGTGGGCAGTTCAAATTGTGTTATCAGCAAGCACTGCTCTGAAGACCAGGGTTTTCAAATATTGCCACACTGATTATCTCAATTATAAAATACACAGGTTGAGTTAAGCTATCTCTAAAATCCCTCCCAGCCTTAACATACTCTAAATTTCTGATTTTTACTGAACTTTTTTTTTTTTTTACTGTAAATTACTCTGTTAGTCAAGGATGGTTATTACATTGGTGTTATCATAAACAAGCTCTAATGTGAAAAGGAAAGTTTCCAATATATAAATTTAATTTTTTTTTAAAGCATAAGGATGTATCCTATATACTCATGTGATAGGCATTTGCCATGGTAGTGCAGGACTTGATGGTGGCAGACCACTGAGCACTGAGATTTCTGCCCATGTATATTTTGTATGTAGTCCAACTGTTCTAGAGTCAATTCTGCCTCATTCATTTTGGTCACAAGGATACTACTCTATACAGTAAGAATTCAGTGAGTCATGCTGAGTAATAATATGTACTGCATTCTTGTTAATAGTATAAGTTGGACCTGACCATAGTTAACTGTTTGTATTAATATTATACATTTATTAAAAAATCCACAAAGTATCATGTAAATGGGCATCCTGCCATGCAGTCATGGATATCCTTATCCAATTTTTATCTTTTTCCCTTTGAATTTTTAAGTAGCTGTAGATCTAGAGGAGGCACCTATTTTCCAAGATGATTGTCTACCATTCAACTATTTTTCAAATCCATCTTTAAGACTTTCTTTTTATACAGGTTTTCTTTGAACTAAACCTCTGAAGGTAATCAGAATTAGCACAGCATTGCACAGAATCAAACCTAACATCTCATTAGTGTGCTATCTTGTCTTTGTTTAATTGACTACATCTACATCCTTGTCACCATCAGCTCAATGATTAGAGGTTAAGCTTATAAGTGTGATACAAGTGAGTGTATAAATATAATATCTGAATATCTGTATTCACACACACACACATACACACACAA